TGGCAGGGTGTTTGAGACCACTTATTTATTTCTTTGATTTCTCGTTGCTACCTCAGAGAGAGCCAGGAAAGTCAGAACTGCACAGTGAGACTTCCTTAGCTCCGTGATGCAAAAGACCCCTGCTCCCACCTGCTCACCTTCCCCGTCCCCCCACTTCCAATGTAACTAGCCTCTGCATAACTATCAGCAGCAGCCCTTCCAAACGAATAGGTGCTGGGGCTCAAGCTTCCCACTGTCCTTACAACCCCGACCCCAGAGGTCCACAGCGACTCTGCACAATCAGAAACCACTTTGTCCATGCTTAGGAAAGGGCTTTCCTGCCCCCACGACTTGGCATGGCTAAGCTCCTGGGTGGCAAGGACATTCTGGGGCTCAGTTGTAGCATCGAAACAAGCGCTGGGACAGAAAGCCCCGTCAACTCGCAGGCACAGGCAGAGAACGAGGGAGAAAAACACACATCACCCTTTAGGACTGGGGGGTGGGAGGAAGAGAGGGAAACGCTGGGCCGGTTTTGCAGTAGATGGCCTTCTATGCTGTGGGTGCTTGCGGGAGAAACCCGAGCGCGTGGCGGGCTGCAGTGCTGCACCAGCTCCGAGCCACCGGCTCGGCTGCAGCTCCGGCGCTGCGCGGCTACTCGAGTTCATTGACTGCCAGTAACCCCGCCTGCCTCTCGCTCAAGCAGCTGGGAACCCAGCGCAGCCCCGGCACACCAGAGGACATCTTTCGCTGCGGGGGGGCGGGCGGGGTATTATCCTCATCAACTGCTTTGTTTTTTGAGCCGCAGCCGCAGGCATGCCGGCGGGACAGGGACAGCCGGAAGCACCTCGCATGCCTCCTGCCTTCGGGGCTGCAGAGTCCGGCCCCTCAGCCCGGCTCCAAACCGCCGCGTGGAGCGCAGCGTGCGGGGCCCCTGGGCAGGGGGCAAGGGAAGTCAGATTGCTCGCGGAGAACTGATCGTCCCAGGACTCCTCCCAGGAGAGATTGCCCCATGCGCTCCTTCCAGACCGCCAGCTCAGGCTGCCCCGCTGGTCCGTCCTGCTGTGTGTGCAGAAGAGGGTTTCCTCATGCACACCCCCCACCCCATGTTGTGCTCACAAAGGCCTGTGGGAACCCAGTTGTCTTCCACTTGACATCCCCCAGTGTTTCCCCACCGCAGTCCCCCTCCGCTTCATTCATCCTCACAACAGCCTTGTGGGGTAGGCTTAGCCTGAAAGCTCACAGTCGGCTCACAGTCACTCAGAGAGTTCCGTGGCCAAGGGAGGACTAGAACCCAGGGCTCCTGAGTTCCCGCTGCCCAGGACGCCACCCTGGCTCTCTCTTTCTCCCTCACATTAATAGCTGCTCTAGGAACCCTCTGTCTGGAAACATGCCCCGTCCAAAGAGGGTGCGTCTTGTTGTCTAGGATCCAGCCATGGCAGGGCATTTGGGTACCAGTCAAAGACCTCTGGCTCTGGACAGCCGTGTCCTCCGTATCACTGCTGAAGTGCAGCTTCCACAATTCCTTGTGGAAAGCCCAGGTGTTCAAACTGGGGCTGACCATCCTAATCCCACAAAAGCCCCACTGAAGTCTGTGGGGTGCCACGATGCAACCCGTTGCTTCAGCCTTCCCTTCTCAGCAGAGAGGTTGACCAGGGTGCAATTCTGCGGCACACAAACCATTTTCTGCTGACTCAGCTATGGCGGCGGCTGTTCTGCAGGAACGTGGCCACGCGGATCAGACCCCGGCCGGCCCACCCAACCGATCGCACGCCACCTGCTTTCAGCCCAGGGGCCAAATTCCATTTTGGAGATGTTCTCAGGGGCTACAATCGGCAGAAGCAAAGGCCGGGGCCAAATCACCCAAAATGCTGTCCTCTTTTAGCCGAGCACGGAGCCTCTAGAACGCTCCTCAGCCTTGCAAAATGAGGGGAAAGGTGGGGGAGCGGGAAAGGAGGGGCAGCCGGGGATGGGGCAGGGCCTCCTGGGGAAGCCCTGGGCCCGCACCCCAAGTTTGCTCTGACTGGCAGCGTCTCCAGCAGGCTGTACGAGCCAGCGCCTCTCTCGGCCTGAGTGCCTCCCACCCTGCCAACCAGCCGCAGCAGAGACGGGTCCACCGAGCCTCCTGACGAAGAGCTACTGTGACAAACGCAGACATGCCCCTGTCTCTGGCCCCCCCGGAAGATCTGGCGAGGTTATTTCTACCACCTCCGTTGCCCTTGGCATGACGGGGTGCCAGGAGTCTATCCCAGACCTCTTGACTAGGGTCAGGAGAAACATTTGTGCATAGGCGACTCTGGTGGAGGAAGGCTCTCCCTTCGAGCACTTTACAAGTCAATCCCAAGGAGGATTGAACTGGATACTGGCTGGCTTAGGCAGAGCAAAACTCCTTTGGGCTTTGCAGGCATGGATGTAGCCCCTCTGCTGGCAGTGGCAGCCGCCCTTTTCTTCGCTCCTGCCAAGCTGATGCAACAGGATAAAAAGTCTGCTCTGTCCAAAGAGCCCTGGAATGTGGGCTTGCACACCTTGTGGCCTGCAGAGCCGAAGATGACCCATCATTGGCCTGCTGGCTGCTTCATGGTTGCCCAGGATGAGGAAGCAAGCTAACTGTGGCGCTGGTGGCCCAGCAGGACCAGGCAGGAGGCCTGTGCAGATGTTTCTCCGGGATGTTCTTCGCTTGGTGGACGAGGACGAACGTTCCTCCCACCACTGCGTCAAGGGAGCACTCGGCACGGGTGCCGGTGAGGCAAGGTGGCCCTCCGCCTCTCTTTCAGAGCAGGGGAGAAGCACACACGCCAAACCGCTGTGCAGGAGTCCACAGGAGGCCTTCCTTAAGAGGCACGGCGCGTTCACGGCTGACCACGGAGTGAACAACAGCCGCCTCGCCCAGAAGAGCACCTGAGCTGGGCCACGTTGTTCGGAGCTTTCCGCTGTTCCTTGTGCGCATCTCAGGGGGATGACAACTGGTTTTCCTAAGGCCTGTTGCCTGATGTCCCCATGGTGCAGGTGAGGCAAGCGCCTGACAGCCTCATGGAGGGATCTCAGGTGCGAGCCCACGCCTCCCTCCCCCGCCCACACACACAGCCTTCTGTTTTCCCAACCCAAAGATATTCCGGGCTCCTTTTGGCTCCGTTTCCCCTCCTGTTTCTGGGGGCTGGTGATTGGCAACCCATTAAGGAAAGCTAATTAAGGCAGGCCACCACCTACTGCCTGCGTAACCCTCCCACGGCTTTCTGCAGCTCTGATTTATATGCAAGGACCAAGCCATGCTGCCTACACAGGATGGAGGTCCCTGGAGAGCTGAGGGGGGGCGGGGGGGGGAGAAGAAGTAATCAAGGTTGGGGCAGGAAACAGTTGTTATTCTTCCTCCTTATAATTTGCTTCTCTCCAAGGCCTCGATGCTTCGCAAGAACTGCCGGGACTCAGCAAAGCAAGGTGCCCTCTGTGATAGCAGCCCCATCCTAGAAGCAGAAGTCACAAGAGCCTGTGAAAGGCCAGCTGGACCAGACAGAGATCCTTCTAGCCCAGCACTGAGTTCATACCACGGCCCATGAAGCAGGACGTGAGCTCAGTGGTGCCTTCTCTTCCATGCTGCCAGCACCTGGGGCACATGTGTGTACTGCCTCTGACATTGGCGGTAGCACAGAGCCATCAGGACTAGTAGCATTGATAGCCCTCTCCTCCAGTCCCTTTTTAAAGCCATCCAAGTGGGGGGTTATTACTTGTGGTAGTGAAATCCATAGTTTAACTGTGCGCTGTGTGAAGTCCTCCCTTTTGCCGGAATCTCTGAATCTTTCAACCCTTGAATCTCCCATCAGCCCCTTCATGGGATGCTGCCGGCTTCTTGTGCCATTTCTCATGTTCTGCACACCAAAGCCATGGCTTGATGGTGCCCTTGGGTTCGGGCAACATGATAAGCCATAGTCCACCCAGCAACCCACCCTCAACCCCTGAATCTGGGTTATTCTATTTTCTGAGCCCAGTCAATGCTGCACAAAGTCTCCCTCCCTCCCTGGGGATTTCTGGGGGTGAATGGCGGTGCTTTCGCCAGGTCTTGCCCTCAGCAACCTGCTTCCAGCCCTTGGTCTCCAGGTAAGATTCCATTCCCTCCTGGTTTTGATGGTCAGGCCAGGCTTGCTGATGCGAATGTTGCAAAAACAGCACCATCCACCCACGGGAGGGAAATGCCGGCAGGCTTGGGAGATGCTCAGTGTTTGAAGAAGTACAAAAGAACTGCAGGGAAGGACCGGGGAAAGGAGCCTTCTGCGAAGTCCCCAGTGAGGACAGCTTGGGCTCCCCAAGAGGGGAATTCTAGCTGACTGTTGGAGAGGGAGCGGTGGGAAATGAGTGGAAGAGGAAATGGAGGCTGACAGACTGGAACTGAACGGGGGTAGGGTTCGGCTTCACACTGCAGTATTTTGTTGCAGATCCATCTGGTTCCTTGCACCACTTGGCCAAATGTGGAAGTCATGCATTTCACTTTCTAGAAGGCAGAGACTCACACAGGCAACCTGCCGCAATGGGGTGCTAAGCGAGCTTCACCCTTCTCGTGACTCAGTGCTGAGCGCAGCTCTGTTCAAACGTTAGTCATAATTTTCCAGATGTGTATTTCTGGTCATGCTTCCCCAAAGAAGCACCAGCGAATTCAGCATTCTCCCCCTGCCGTACACCCGTGATTGGCGTGCACTTGCCTGTACGCACTATCACAATATTGCATTTTGCAAAGAACCACTTTGCTTATCGGTCTCCATTTTATCCTCACAACCACCCTGTGAGGTAGGCTAGGCTAAGAACCAGTGACCGGCGTGGAGCTACCTAGCGAGGTGCTTGCTTTAGCAGGGATGAGCACCTGGATCCCAAGTTCCAGCCAGCCCTCGGACCACAAGAGCACACAGGCCCTCAGCAGCTGCTCACCTGCGCGGGGTCTTACGTGTGGGCAGGGGAGCGCAAAAGCAGCCCTCTCCTCCAGAACCTGCACAGACAAATGCCAGCCAGAGACCAGAGGTCAAGCACCTCCATCCTACCTCTCTTCCTCCACCACGAACCCTCGCGGACGGAGTACGACAGGTCGACAAACTCGATGTCCACCGCCGACCGCTTGGGCAGGTGGGAGAACCTCTGGGCATCCGTGATGTGGTTCTCCACCTTCTTCAGGTGGGTGGTCAGCAGGGGAGCATCCTGAGAGCCTGAGTTGCACACAGGGTCCTCCAGGGCGATGGAGACGCAGGTGGGGTCAAGGCTCTTCTCGGCCATCGTTGCCGGCCTGCACAAAGAAGAACCCGGGGAGAAGCGGATGTTAGAGCCAAGCAGTATTCTCATTCTCTCTCTCTCTCTCTCTCTCTCTCTCTCTCTCTCTCTCTCTCTCTCTCTCTCACACACACACACACACACACACACACACACACACACACACACAGATTCTTCCCCCAGAATCTGGAAGAACCAAATCTTGGTTGAAAGCTCTTGGGTTCACGAGGGTTATTTGTCCACCCGTGTAACCAGCAGGCACAATTCCAAGCCTAGGCATGCAGACTCGAGCTCACAGCAATCGCGGGGTCTCCAGAGAGGTGGGTGCCCATCCCCTTCCCCACCCCACCACTCATGCTTGGCACATCTTGCCCTCCAAATGAGCCCTCTGCTCTTCCCACTCACCTGGCTTGTGAGCGCTTCATAGATTCCTCCAGAGGGAGGGTCATGGGCTGCAAACCCCACCCCCTGGAGGAATTCAGGTTGTTATCGCCAATCTTGGATTGGAGACAACAGCAAAGGTTCCTCTGCAGGTGATACTTTCCATGAGGCACCTTAACTGCTTGTATAGGTGATTGGGCGATAGGGAGAAGGAATGGGGGCCACCAGGCCTTGGGAAGGCTGCCTGTCATCCCATGAGTCAAAAGAATAACTGCAAAGCGAACCCTTGACTGGCCACACTTCAGTCTCTCTCTGGCCAAAGCCAGCTGGTGACCAGGGCACTAAGGAGTGGAACCAAAATGAACGTGCTCAGCGCACGCAATGGGGACACGCCAAGTCGGACAACCAATCCAGTATTCTGGGGTGTGGACCTCCTTTCCATCCAAGGGCCTCCAGCAGTTCCAGAGAAGCTCTTGAGGGATGCATTCCAGCAGTGGGCAGGAATAACAGCAAAGTCAGTGGGACAAAAACATGAGGGACAGCGCCTTTCTCTAGCATACTGTGTCCTAACTCATTCACTGCACAGAACTAAGCCTGAGGGGAGGTCCTGGGAATGGGAGGCAGCCCAGAAGCCAGGAAACCTTCGGCTGAGTGGTGGCTGAGGGAACGAGGTGTGTCATCTGGAGAACCCTGCATGGGCAGATTGGGACCTATCAGGCCCCCAGTCCCGGAGCGTCCCCACTCCTGAACTTCTTTGGCTGGCAGCTGCTGTCTAAGGGCTCCCCCGTTTTCCAGCTCTGCCGCCCCCGTCCCCTTTTCACTGGAGGGGGCTGGGATCGAACGTGGCACCTTGTCCTTCACGACTCAGCTCAGGGCTGTACTTCCTCGGCATACAGGAGTCCAGCTCTTATGGCCTTCTTTCTGTCCTGAGGCTGAACTCGAACAACGGCGGCAGGTTCTCGATGTTTCGATCTGCACGGCACCCCCATTCTTATGTCTGCTGCTTCCTGGACTCGGCTTCTGGGCCGAAGGAGCAGGACAGAAATGGCCGTGTGTGTGTGCTGGGACAACTGGTCGAGCTCTTCCTCCACCAACTGGGGAGAAAAGCAAACAGACGGCTCTGCTCATGGCCCCTACCCAAATTTTTTTGTGAAGGCTTGTGCTAGCTCCATGTAAGTCACATGAGCAGGTGGGTATGGTCCCTTTGCATCTCGGTCGACGTCTTGCTCAGCTTTGATTCTTACCAACCAGGTTGGTGTAAACCGACCATGTAACCCACCAGTGTGTGCTCTCAGAGCTGGTCCTACCGACAGGCATCAAGTGAGCCGCTGACTTGGGTGTCAGGGAAGGCCAGCAAATGAATTCATTACCCGATTTAGACTTGTTGTATTTTTGCTCCTGGGGAGAGACACTTGCGGGATTTACTGCCTCTGGGACAAAATAACTTGGCCAGCCTTGGGGATGACGCACCATGATTTGCAGGTGTGGGAGGCACTTGCTCCCCTTCTTCAGGTGGCAAAACCTCTTGGGCTCGCCTTGCTCTTAGTAAACAGCCTTGCTCTTAGTGAACAAAGGGGCAAGGCAGGAATGCTTCCCTCCAGTGGTATTGCTCAATGGTTGAAAGGAGGCTCTCTGAAGATGGCCTTGCTCATGGGGGTGTGGGTTCTCCAGAGTTCAGATCCCTCACCAGGGTCTCTCGAAGCTAAACCTCTTTATGGGGAAGAGTGTGGGGTGGAGGCAGCTTGTGTTTAAATGTTTGTACCCGAACACCAAAGCATCACGCAGTACATAGCTTCCAATTTCACAGACTGTAGCAGCTACAGTATACCTTGAAGAGATAACTTCCTTTAGGACAATTACATCTTTTACAGAACTCTTTAGCCAGAATAAGAATATTTTGGCTTAGTGAGAGGACAACCATCAGAGGATAAACTCATTGAAATAACAGACAAAACAGCTTAGAGTGATATAGAAAGCAGTACTGTAGACAGTGCTTAAAAGCAACCTGCTTTTCTTTTTTTAGCTGGATTGCTAAGAGGGTAGTAGTCTAGGTTTCCATACCGGCTTCAGAGAAGCCTCCATAGAAACGCAGGCTGTTGGTCTCGCAGCAGCTGGTTCAAAAAAGAAAGCGAGAGCCTTCCTACAGGTGTGCTGGTCCAGGTGGGATGGACCACTGCATTATCATGCTGGACATCAAGAATGGGCAGCCTGGGAATGTTGTGGACTGAGGCAGAAAACAAGGTAGCATCTCCTTCCCTTCCATCTGCAGAGAGACAGCTGAATGGGCAGGTGGGAGGCTCCAGCACCGAGGATGGGAGGGACAGCGTTGCCCACTGCACCTGAGGAGAGCAGGCAAATTTGGGGTGGTGCAGGGTTGGTTGCGTACCATGCCGGTCTCTCCTCCAACACCTTGCTGCCACCTCCCAGCATCTGCCACCTGAGGCGAGGAGTGCATTCTGCCGAATGGTTGGGATGGCCTTTCCATGAAGAAACAGAAGCCCCTTCCTTGAGGAGGGCATAGAGACTAAGCTGCTAGCAAAGGGGAAGCAGAGTAACCCATCCCTTCTTTGATAGACTTGCCTTCTGGCCCACTTGGAACAACCAAGGGGTTCCTTGGACCTGCTCGGCACAAATCATTCCATTGCCAGGTTCTTGTTCTCAGGCTGTTGGTTTGGGGGACTGCAAGCTGGGGAAGAAGCAGCCGAGACCCTCCAACCTTGGCCTCCAATTCCCACCATCCCTTTGGCTTCCTCAAAAAAAATTATCCATGGAATAAATTCCCACAACTTGCAGCCACAGTGCCCCAAATTCAACCCTAGCCAGGCCAAATGAGCCTTCCTTCATCCGACTCAAGGACAAAACACCAGCCAAGTTGCTCCTTCCACAAGCAAAGGGGGAAAGTGCCCAGTCTCAGAGCTATGGCACAAAGGTTGGTGGAATTGTTATTGCTGTTGTTGTTGTTAAATTTCTATAACATCAATAGCCCAGGCATGAACACACTCTCTCTCTCGCATGAATTGAAGACAGAGCAGCTACTGGATTAAAGAGCCTGAAGTGGTCGGGGTACACATGTGTAGAACGGGGTATGGGACAGAACACTCCGAAAAGATCAAGGGCCAAGATGCCTCCCCGCAACCCCTTCGGCAGAGGTACCCACCCACCCTCCACCCAGCTCTCGAGGCAAAGCATCAGCAGGTCCCGATGCCAACTCATCCAACTGACTGAGCAGCCAAACAGTCGTCGGGGCCCCTCAGCAAACCAACCTCCTGCCCCTTTTCTACAGGCTTGCTGGATGGAGGCAAACTAAACCGAACCCGAACCCTTCCCCAACATGGTGTCTTTGCAGACGGCTCAGACCAGACCGTAACTCCCATTGTTCCTGGCCATGCTGATGGGAACTGAAGCTCAAAAAGGCCCGGGGGGCACGGGTTGGGGAAGGGTGCCTTAAGGGGGCAAGAGGAAGGCTCCTCAGCTTTTTGGTCTGCCGTTCCCACTGGTGGTGGACAGCTAAGGCAGGATAGACCTCCCCCCCCCCCACCACAGGCCAAGCCCACTTCCCATCCTTTAACCTACATTTCCAAGCAATGCAGCTCCCCCCTATGCCTTCTGCAAGCAGCAGTACAGCAAAATCCCAGCCGGGTTCATTTTGGGGATGAAATCACCGTCTCTTGGGGCGAGAGCACCTCTTCGTGCCACAAATCCAGGGACTGCCCATTTCCTTGCAGGGCCTTTCCTTTCTCCTCACTGTCCCACCCACCCCACAATCCCCAGAATTCAACTTCTATGAATCTCTCCCCCACCTCAGCACAAAACATCCACACTACACCAGCGTGCATTTTCTTAGTCCATACATGCGCTATAAAAGGACAAAAATGTCATGGGAGTTGCAGAGGGCTCCTTCAAACCTCACATGCTTGCGTTTCGAGAATGCTTTTATTTCTGTTCAGCTGACAAACGCATTAAAACACACCGCCTGTTTGCAATCTGATCTACCAGCGCTGCGGGAGCAGAACTTGCCCCTTTGCTGTAAATCTTGTGGCCTCCTCCATCTTGCCGGTAAAATCTTGCCGACTCCCAACATAATACCGAAATGGTCCCCCGAGCGGAAGGGTTGTTTTAGATCTGGCCATATTTCCCCCATTTTTCCTTAAATGTTTAGCATTCAGAGCCTGATCCTGGGCATATTTATGAGGAACTGAGTTCATACCAAGATCAAGGAGTCGCTTAAGCAAGCACAGGATTGGGTAGCAATCACCACCTTGATATATGAATCCCCCACCTTTCTCCCTTTAGGGAATGCAAGGGGGCTGCCTGAGGTTCCCGGGGGGGGGGGTGCTAAGACCTGCTTAGCTCCAACAGGGTCGATGTTTAAGGTGGCTCTGAGCAACGGCTGCTGCTGCTCCTCCGATGCCGCCATCCGGGAGCACCTTTCCTTCCACCCCTTCTGCGCTGGCATCTTGGCGAAGGGCCTACAGTGAGCTTCACTGCAGAACAGGGGACCGTTTCTGTCGCCAGTGGAAACACACCCCTGGCCCCCCGGCCCCCCCCCCCGCACTCACCCGAGTTTCCCGATGCGACCAGAATGGAATTCTCAGAAGGGCTGAGGATTCCATCCTCCTCCTGCC